AATAATTAAATTATTTAAAATATAAATATTAAGACATGATAATAAAATGAATTGATGGTTGGTGTAACTTCCGAATCAAACATATGTATATATTTTCCTTTTGACTTTAATTTTTTGAATTTACATTATTAAATAAAGAGTGATTAATTACTAATGATGGAAGCAAAGCTAGATTCGATGCATTCCCATCAAAATGATAAATGAGTTATGTTTGTGAGTTGAATTTCGGAAATATGGGTGGTTAAAGGGATAAATTGTAATTTTTTATTTATTAATTTATATTAAAAGTTTATTAAAATATAAATTAAAAATTACGGATTTATTTGAATACAAATTAAATGTTAGAAACTTATTTGAATACAAGTTAGGGATATATGAAGTGAGTTAACAAATGAACAAATACACAATTAATTAATATTAAATTAGGTGTTAATTTTAAATTAAGAAGATCAACTTAAGCTTCAATTTTAAACCCATTAGAGGTTAGAGGTGAGAATAAAGTTTTGCATCAACTTTTATTATAAATATGAAAGATACATCTGTTACGTGTTCATATTTTCAATCCAAAAGATATATTTATTATGTAAAAGAAGACTTATGATTTATACATTCAAAATTAATTTTTTATTAATGTAAGATTTGTGACACGTGTATGAATAATTAAAAAAAAATCGAACATAATTTCAAAGATAAAAAAAAAAAAAGAGTCTGAAAACGAGGAGGAATACGTATCAATGTTTGATACCCGGATGACTTGGTTTGATCCAAAAAATACGTACCTAACAATTTGTGCATTGAAAATTGTACATTATTTTCGTTCTCTTGTGTCAGCAACAACAGGCTTCCCATTGCTCAGAAATTTCAAAACGCTTGTAAGTTTTGCTGTTTTCTTTTAAACGTTACGATCCAAGAGCCAAGTGAGACGAGACCAACCAGGTCTTTTATAATTTTTGTTCTTGGAAAAACGTTTGACTGAGTTCCTGTTAAACCAGCCAAAGGCAGCAACACCAAGAAAATAACTCCTTCGAAAAATTGAAAAAAAGAAAATGTATGATTTTTTAAAAAATAAAACATATTTCTAAATTTTATTTTTAAAATCACTGTTACTGTAAAATTTTTATTATAACATCTTTAATTTCATATTGAAAAAATATGTGAATATAATATGATATAACTCTCTCGATCCCATATTGCATGGTTGATACTTGATACGACTTTAATAGGTTTGTTTGCATTAACCAGCAAGTTTTGGACTCTTGTTCGGAAGCAGAAGCATCCCTGAAAAGGGGGAAAAAGAATCTGCAAGAATGGGATAGAAATTTGACAAGACTGTTCAACAGACCGCATCCCATTTTTCTCAATCACAGATTTATTTACAGGGAAATACAAGTCATACAGGCTTCAACATGTATAATCTCACAACCATTTACTTTCTCCATAGCAGCAATAAATTATCCAAGAAACTATAACACAGCAAGGCGAAGCACAGGAAAAAAAAAAAAAAGGAGAAAAGAATATTACCTTCAGGGGAACTAGTCACTACTCCGCCAAAATCCGCGGTTAAAGATACATCTATGTGAACAAGATGGTGTTGGATGCGTTTGGATCTCAAGGGAGCCGACAGTAATGGCAATTTAGATGAAAGGAATCAGATAAGCCGCCTTTTGAAGTTTCTGGTGGTTGCTTGGTATGTACGAACCAGCAAGCCAACTCCTATACCAATGCCCAGACAAAGGCCAAGACCAATCCCTACACCAACCCTTACACCTGCATTGAACCATGAGAGTTCACCATCTTCACCATCTATGTAGTCTGTCGTCCTCCAGTAGATATTGCTGTAGTCTTCCTCATTTTCTTGTTTGTAGTTTCTGTATTCTGCTACCTACGAATGGAAAGTAATGTAACAAAGTTAGAGATGAGCAAATATATGTCCAGTATGACAAAACAAATTATGTTAGACTCCAAATTTAACAGGAATCTTAATTGTAAGGATTCCTGCCCTTCTCTTCAAACATATCCTACACAATGGTAAAAAAGCAATGTTTGGTGATCCTCACTAAGAAACAGCCTCGTTCTAAAATTATTGACTCAAAGTTACCTCTTTCCTTCTGCCAGCCAGGCTGATTCTTGAGGATGAAGAGAAAGCCTGAACTGAAGGATAGATCAACAATCATGAAGGAGTGAGAATATACATTCTCATTCTCTAAAGATGAACAATAGCTAAAGTTTACATGAAATGTTTCCAAAGAGGGTTTAACCCAAATCGATACAAGTTGCCTTCAAAGAAAAAGATACCTAATTTGAATGTATCAGGTGGGCTTAAACAACCGCCAATAATTGAAATCTATAAAACAAAGGTCTTGTTCAAACCAATATTTGAGGAAATATAGCATGCTCAGATGCTCTAACCAATTTCTTGGTCACAAGATTTCACTCTTTCCATTCATGCAATAGTAAGTTTTTGTGCAAAGTCTGAAGCCAAAAGAATAGAAAAGATCAACAGATACTTTCTGAGGCAGGTCTGAGTACAGGCATGCAAAGCAACTCCTCTTTAATGTGTTTCAAGGATAGAAGTTTAGCTAAAAAGCAAAATAGAGTAAACATAGTTCACCATAGATTGGCTTGCAAGTTGCTATTAATCAAATACTCAGATTGCAATGAACTCTATAAACAAGCATTTGCTTTAAGAGCAGAGAATGGGAGTGCCCCAACAAGAAAATGGCAAGAAACAGCCAGGAGATGGCGGGCCTCTACATGACACCAACCCAGTATGGCTCTAGTGGGCCTATAGACGTCAGGATTTGGCAGAACAATTACACTGAAAAATATATAATAGAAAAGGAAAAGGGGTATACTACATCCCATACTTGAAAACGGTACACTGCCCTTACGCTAACGACACATATAGGATAAAGATTCTGTTTACCAATCAATGCATCAAATCTTGCAAGTATGGACTGTACTGCAAAAAGAAACATGTTTCAAGACAGGAAGCACATTAGCAGCCATAAAAAAGAGGAAACTAAACTGAGTTTCAAATCACAGAGCTTTGACCAAAGATTATGAACGGCCATCCTTATATATACAGAACATGAGCTGCTAAAATGTAATATAAAGAATGCAACACCAAAGCATGGCTCAAACATAGAATACCTCAAAATCAGTCCACTAAAGTGTACAGGAAAGAAATGGAATTTCAATACAGAAATGTCCGGTATGTTACCTGCATATCAAGTCCAGGTGATGTATCTTTCTGGCATTTAGTGCTCTGATATTCTGGAATTGCATCTAAAATGCCCTTCCTATTATGCTTCTTCCGGAAATTAAGTTGCAATGTTTTAGTCAAGATGATTGGTGTTCCAGAGAAGCAACCTGCAACATAAACCTCAATGGTTGGTGGTGATAATTCAGGACAAGGAATATGCTTTCCCTTCAGGAAACCACTGCCAGATGTGATCTCTGATTCACAATTCATGTTCCATCGTTTCACAATATTTTTAGATTCCCCATTGAAGCCATTACTACTAGACATTTCCAACACACCAGACAGAATGAGATCCTTTTTATCAAACACCTCAAATTTCACACTTTCCATTAACCTAATACTATCTGTACTCACAAAGGTGGCTTCTTCTGATTTCTTATCTACACGATCCCTTCTAAGGAGTAAAGAAGCCCCATCAGAGTATAAGCTGCTTCTACTGCCATTAACTTCCAACAAGGTGTCAGGGTTTAGAGGGAAATGATTGAGAGTTAGAAACTCTGGAGTTGAATCATTCGCTTGAAAATTGCTAACTCTAACATAGAAGACTCTCAAATCAAACCATAGTGATGATAATCTGGCGTAAGGTTCAAAAGGAGAGTACCGAATTATCTGAAGGTCGTGATCTGCTACTTTAACATTTTCTGATGTTTCACAAGGACCCTCCATGATTCAGGAGCTCAATCTTCACTGAAAACCTCTAACATCAATTAGAATCACAACATTGGAAACACCAACCAAATTGGTATGGAATTGCCTGTGAAAACCTGTTATAACATCAGGATAGTAATGCCAGTCAGAAAATCACAACGGATTGTCATCCAAATCAGCTAGCTCCAAATTATGGGAGAATAAAAGAATATATGAGAAAAACCCAGAGGAGAGCTAGATAAGAGGCTTCCAGGAAACAAAATAAATACTAGAACGACCTAATTTTTAGCAACAGAAGCCCTTGAAATATGGAAAATAAAAGGAAAAACCATAACAGAAAAAAGAGATGCAATCGAACAATATTATCTTATGGCCAAAGAAAGACGAAAATTTGCCAACTTTACCATATGACCATGGCTAACGGAGATCATGGAAAAGTACACTTTTTTTTTTTGAAAATATACTCAATTGATAGTTTTCTATACCAAATTAACAAAAAAAAAAAAGTTCAGATTTCAGACATGCATACACTTTAAGGAACAACAGGAAAAAGAAAAAAAAGAGTTTCTATTGATAAAAAAAATAAGTTACAGATTAATTGTTATCTATCCCAAGGTAATAAAACTACAAGTTCAGATTTCAGATATGTAGACACTTAAGGAACAACAGCAACCAAAAAAAATCAATTACTTGTTTGAAATTTCAATAAATCCGCAAATAATTAAGACAACCAAGTCGAAATTTAGAAGAAATATTAATTGCCATTCAACATTCATCATTTGGAAATTGAAATAAAAGTAACCTCCAGGGGACCCTACAGCTACGCAAACCCGTACTCAGCTTTCTCTATCTCCATGTTTTGGAATCAAAGCAAACAAGAGGATCAAATTGAAAACTTATCGATTCGTGTACTATCCTCTTCCTTCAAGAGAAAAAAAAATAGGAGAGAAAAAGAGGAAGCTTTTAAGACAAAGAAAAGCCGGTAATAAACAAACAAAACACGCGTCGAACAACCAGCCAAATTATGTATCAGTTTCTCTAGAAACAAATAGCATCACAAACGCAAAAAACAAAATTATAATCTTACCAAGAAAATCTTCCATCCACAAAGATGCCAGCTTGTCATCTATGTTCTATCAGTCCAAATAATCCAACTTTTCTGTCTAGTGGCCTCTGAAATCGCTTTCAACATTTAAAGCTTTTGATTTTCTGAAAAGAATTGGTGGATAAGTACATATTCAAAGACCCAAGGCTCCAGAACTCCAGACACCTCCAGCATTATTCTACTGCTACAGTAGCAATCTTTTTTTTTTTCTTTTATTTGGTTTATTCTTAATTATAGAGGGGATCGTAATCTTAATTCTCCAAAATTGGTTGTGCGAAAAATTTAAACTTGAGTGAGTGGTGGACTTTTTGATGACTTTTTTGTTGGTTAATGGTGCCAGATGGTTGGATATCCTGAGAGAGATCGGCTACATATGACCTGGGGCTACTTTTGCATTATTATAGTCATGATGCTCTTATCCGATTAGCAGCACAGAGTTTGCATTACAAGGCCGGTGTCGTAAGAAAGGTTTGTCCTGCCCTTACCCTGCCCTTGCCTTGAGGAGTAATCAACGGCCATGTCCACATGGTCGTTGAGACGTTGACTGTTGTGTCATGAACTCACCATTAGAATTTGGATGTAGTCCCTCATGCCCCAGTGGGCCTCATTAGAGAGGACTTAAAAAAACAGGCCAATAACATCAATCAATTGAGAAAGGCTTGTTGCCCATTTTTCTTTGGGCCTAATGACTTTTCTGCTGAATTTACAGTAGAGCAATACCAAAGAGAAGCAAATTCTTAAAAGGAGCGGGCAACCAAGAAAATCCCAGTATTGGGCTTTTTTACTGTTAGAAAAGGGAAGGATTTGCCGCTCCGAAAAGAAATTTTGGTAGAGTAACATTTTACAATTGTATTGTAACAGGGGCTCTTTTGAAGGCTCCACTCTCGCGCTTCTTTGTCAGGCAAATCTCCCCTACTTTCTTGTCCCTTTCTTTTTGGCCTAAAGGTCTGAACACCAGAGTCAGCATCCTGTGTTCTTCTCTGCTTGATTCCAGGTGAGCATCTCTTTCTCTTCGTAAAAAAAAGCTCAATAACTCTAGCGGTCTTGCCTACTTTATGTTTAATCTTGGATTTCTTCAAGCCTAACTGTTCTGTATCGTGAAAGCTTGAAGTGGGTTTTAAGTTTCAAGTCAAGAAAATCCAAGTTTCAATTATTCTTGGTAGAAATCGCTTTTCTTGTGTGCATTGGTTTGGGGTTTCACTTCGATTTAGTTGGGTTGTTTCACTTTCTTTTTCTGGGATTGTAATTGACTAGTGGTTGAATTAGAAAGAAAATTGGCAGTTAATTTTGAGCGGTAAAAAGATTCTTTTTTTTTTTTTGCTATTATTATTTTCGTAGCATTTTTTCTTTTGATCATTTGTAAATTCCTGTTGATCCTTTGGCGTTGAATAGGTAGAAATGCTTGTGAATTTGACTAAAAATTCTATAGGTTCGATGGTAACTTTGTTCAGTCATGATTTTGAACCCCGGAACAGTTAAAAGATCTATGTAACCATGAATCGGTATATAAGATTTATTATGGTGCCAAAAATGGGGAGGGGTAGTTGTTTAGTTCTTGGTTGCACCAGCATAGTCAATTTTCTGAACGTAGCCGTTATTTAGGGGACTGCATTTCTATTTTATAGTTCTCAAAATGATTTTTTGTGTTCTTTGTGGACTCTGAAATCAATCTATGAGTCATATATTTTACATAAACTTAGCTTATTGGGTTCCCATAGTTCAATTCAAAGAGATTGTGATTGTTCATTTTCTATCCTGCTTATGAGAATAACAAAGGTTCTTATTCGCGCAATGACAGATTTTTATTGTGGGGTTATTCTTGCATGCATTTTTCTCTTTTTAGATGACTTACTTTCTTTCTTTCTTTTTTTTGTTTTACATTGCTGCATTGTCTATGTTGTATGTCAACATGATGAAATTGAGAGTTCTAAGAATATGATGGCACTTTTTGCATAGGTTATGGCATATCCTGAGCATCAAAACGTGGAGAGGGAAATAGTACCTGTCAACCCTACTCCAAGAAAACATCGGATTTTACTTGCTGCCTGTGGAAGTGTCGCTGCCATAAAGTTTGCGAAACTCTGCCAATGTTTCTCTGAATGGGCGGAAGTAAAAGCAGTTGCAACAAAAACCTCTTTGCATTTCATTGACAGAGCATCAATTCCTAAGGATGTAAAATTTTACACTGATGAGGAGGAATGGTCCAGCTGGAGGAGAATAGGTGACAACGTGCTTCACATTGAGCTTCGTCGATGGGCTGATATTATGGTCATTGCCCCATTGTCAGCAAACACGCTTGGCAAGGTAATATGATTTTGCTGTCTTTGGGTATATTTTTGTACCTCCATTTCATACCTTGTATTAACTGTCGAAGGGACACTGAACAATATACGTGCTTGCTAATGAAAAGAGCATAGAAAATGAGTGCAGAGAATGCCTAACAGTCACCTAATTGAACTGTTAGGATGTGCTTTATGTAGTTACGGAAAGATACTACTTATTTGATTCTTTATGTCAATTATATTTTCGGTTGACCAGTAGCTTATACTTAATAGTAATGAGGAGTAAACTTATGCAAGCTTTAATTTATCTGAGAATTTCTTTTTCTGCTGTCATATGCTTTTGATTTTCCCTTTCCATGAAACTGTTTAGTTGCTTAAATGATCATACGGCTTGATGTGATTATAACTCTGCTCTTAAACATTTTTTTTAATCTTCTAACATCTGCTATTGCAGATTGCTGCGGGATTATGTGACAATTTGCTAACTTGTGTCGTACGAGCATGGGACTACAGCAAGCCACTGTTTGTTGCACCGGCTATGAACACTTTCATGTGGACCAACTCTTTCACAGAAAAAAATCTCATGTCAATTGATGAGCTTGGGGCTTCTCTCATCCCCCCAGCCACAGAGAGACTAGCTTGTGGAGACTATGGGAATGGCGCAATGGCAGAACCTTCTCTAATCCACTCGACCATAAGACTAGTCTTGGAGTCACGGCCTCAACCCAGCTCTGGAAGAGCCTATTGATTCGACATGAATAAGGATACTAAATTTGTTGTGTTGCAATCCATTGATTCTGAAGTGGGCCTATTTTTGTTACCTGTCTACCAAGCTTCCCATACGATTCTACCTGCTGCCTTTTAGAGTTTGCTTAACTTGCATTGCATGTCCTGACGATTGGTCTTGAACACTGCAGAACATTTGATCGTGTAAACTGATGATATTGACGAGTTAAATAATCACATCAGCTTACTAAAAGTTACCTTTCATGATTATTTATTTTGCTTTCAAATGGTTGTGATTTATTTTATAGATTTAGTGGGGACAAAATTGCATAAGTATGTGGTAGATATCACCTGGAAAAGAAACTAGATAGGTCCGATAGACTCACCGACCCAGTTTCCAATAGGTCCAACCTTCACTGGCCCAATATATCATCAACAAAGATCAAATATCAAGATTTTTTTAAAAAAAAAATTTAGACAAAAATCATCCAATCAAGGATGTGGCTATCACTTTCCTTAAGACTTCTCTATTTCTTCCTAGGAAAAATCAAATTAACCTAAATGCCTTGTTATTATACAAGAGAAAGACACAAACATAAGCGTTTACCCATGGTTAAGTGTTGGGCCACCCTTTCTTTTACAATAGCAGGCCTCTTTATTTTTATTATATTTGGACTTTTTATGTTTAACAAAATAGAAAGGAAATTTTGGGGTGAATGAAATAAGATAGCTTTCCACCTCATTTCCTCCTAGTTGTCTTTTCTGCTGCTGCAAAAGAGTAGGATTTATAGGGATGGATGGTGTTGGTAGACAAAGAAAAGGCAAGGTGATTTTAATGGCTTTTTGAGCTTGGTTTGTTCTTTGCAAATAGAATCTGTTACTATTGGTATTGGTATAGGGTCGTAAATATATAGAATATAATAAGAGAGAGAGAGAGAGGGGAAAAGAAAGAAAAAGGGTCTTGTATTAATCGGGTTTCCAGAATTTGGATATTGGTCAAAGATATTGGTCCAGTTGCTTTAGGGTCTTGTATAAAAAATACACCATGGGACATATTTCTATGAATATTTGGATTCAATATACAGAAGGGTAAAAGAGCTGCAAACATTTAAAAGAAAAAAAAAAGAAGAAGAAGTCATTGAAGATTTGATTTTGATAGTTTGTTTGGGTTTATGATAACTGAGTATTGATTGTTGAATAAAAAACTTATTCATAGGGAAAGATTGATGGGTAAGAAGCCTCAAAAAACCAAGGAACTTTCAGTAGCAATAGCTGAGGCTTCATCAGTAGGAGAAGAGGTCCAGCAACAGTCACTGCCTCAGGCTCAGACTCCTAGAAAGAGAGGTAGACCCCGAAAGATTGTTGAGAAAGCTGAAACTGAAACTGATGAGAGAAAAGAAGAGGAAGCAGCAGAAGTTATCGAGAGCCAATCAAAGAAAGTAAAAGTTGCTGAGGAACAAAAAGAAAAAGAAGAAGAGCAACAAGAGCAAAAGCCACAAGCAAAAGCAGAGGCATCATGTTTTGCATCCAAGAAAGGAGAGGGAGGACAATCAGTTCCTCCGAGGGAGCCTCCAAGAAGGAGAACAAGAAGAAAAAGCAAACCCAGAAAGAGCAGCTAATTAAAGTTGCTTTAACTCGTATTTGGGTCTCATGTTTTGCCTTCATAAATTCTGGTAAATCGTTCTTTTTTTTTTTCTTCTTCAATACATACATGTGGTAGCTTCAGGGAAAGAAGATTTAAAATTATTTTTGCTTTTCATGTTGATTAAAATGAAGATTAAGCTTCCAGGTTTCATGACGAAGCTTCTTGGTTTCGGTTTCATCAAATTGGTTGCTTTATCATCAGTTCATCTCTTTCAAATGTAATCACAGAAAAGCATAATACAAGGGCCTTGCTTTTTCCTTTTCTTTTCTTAATTACTGTAGTTGGCTGTTTATTCAATCGATTAAATTCTCATAACCTTACATTAAATCTTTTTCTTGTTAATTGTTATGCTGTTTCTGTTCATTCTGATTATTACTACTAGTTGACTTTATCTGTTCCTTTGTCAAGATTATAATACAAATCATAAAGATACACTCTCGAAGGTAGACAAAACCTATCAAACAACTCTATTAATATTGGTAGATAAAGAAACTTCGAGCTAGCCAAAATGGGTTTTGCTTGTTCTACTCCATTATGTAGGAATTTTAATGTTCGGTGACATTGAATGAGGGGTAAGTGAAAGCCAGGTTAAAATCTGAAGGTGCGGGAAGAGGAAAAACTGAGTGAAGGTATTTTGCTGGTGCCACTGCCAGCTCTGCCTTATGAGGAGAAGACGCTGAGTTTTAATTGCTCTGGACACGAGAAACTGGAACTGCTGCCAACTCATTTCCACTCTAGCACGTGATTCCCAGGCCCTAGCGACAACACAATCTTTGGTGATTCATGTATTCATTTGTGTAAAATAGAAATAATGTATTTGTATTATATTTTATATAGATATTATGTGATATGATTTATATCGAAAGTATGATTTTTTTTTAATTTTATTAATATTAAACATATTTATAATTTTTATTAAATTTTAAATTATATTATTTTTATGTTTTTATTTATATCGTTTTAATGTAACGTCAGCGTGTCTGGAAATTGCCATACAGCCGCCTCAGTAACCCAATGGGCGATTTCTGATTCTGGTGGGTTCTTTACCACGAAACTTGAGCGTCAAGTGACTCCCAAGTGTTATGCTGGCGCGTGGAATTGGTTTGTTATAAGTTACTCGTATTGACAAAGTCATAAAGGAGGAAGGGTAAGCAACAGTAAGAAGAGAGAGATGGGATGTGCTTTACAAAGAGCGGAGAGACAGAGGACAGAGCGTACCATAAAACTTGTTCACTTACTTGTCAACTTATTGTAAGAAAAAGACGAGTAGCGGAAGAAGAGGAGAGCTTTTACCACTTGCCATATCCATCCCAGGCCCCCGCGTTTGTCGACGCGCTCTTCCCCGTAGGACCCTTCCGTATCTGCACCTGGGTTGCTTTGACAAGTTGTTTGGTTAACAACCCCACCCGAAAATCTCAAGCCAAGCTATTGTATGATAGAGTTGTGCACTGCACAGGATCTCTCATCAAATTATTCTATAGCAAAGTTCAAGGGTAACCCTTGTTTAAAATCACTTAAGCTGCACTAAAATGGAACCTGGTAATTGTTTTTGGAATTACAGTTTTCATGCTCAAGAATGTCAGTGAAACTTTGCAATACCCTTCAGTAATTTTCTTTTTTCTATCTTTTTTTTGTGTCAGCAAGAGCAAGTGGGAAAGCAAAAGCCTGAGTTGAGAATTGAGATGTTGATAGGCACTGTTTTGCAGAGTAACAGGAAGTAGTGCAGTGCGGTGTATGGTTGAGAGGCCTGAGTTTGTCCTCCAACACAAAACTTGGTATCATCCAGCCACAACCAATGCCCAATCTGATTCTTGTAAATCTTTGATAACATCTCAATCACAGAGACCGATGATAAGAAAAAAAAATGTGAAAAACCGACAGGCCTTATTCCCTCCCTTCTTTTCTCAGAAGTTAGACCCTCAGGAGTCAGGAGATAAGAGAATGTCCTGTTAAAAATTGAGTTGCTAATGATAAACTTTAATCTGCAATCGTCTTCTTATCTAAAATCATCATTGAAAAATGATGATTAGTCATATGATGACAGTGAGGAGAAAACCAGCAAAAGGGACAGAAGATTACATTTAAAAGAGAACTAATCTATAATTGATGGATTATCATTTCTTTTTAGTATGATTCTTTTGGAATTTGGATCTTGTGACCGAAGTGGTTCAACTTTAATTACACTTGTCTTCATTTTGTACACGTTGTAATGTTCGATGTTTTTACCAACGGTCATTGGTAAATTGACTCCGATTGATGGGCTTGAACGACCTTACAGCCCAAAGGTATTTAGGCTGACAATTGACAATATGATGTTACAGTTTTTGGGCTGTATGTACCAGAACCGATACTTGGACTTATCTTAGGGCCGCTTGGTACCACTTGATTGAATTTGTTCGATTCTTGGTTTTCTAGTAGTCAGTGACTCACGATTTTGTTTTTCTTCTTCTTAATATTGGGTGAAGTAATTTTATTGAAATTTTTTCCCTGGTGTATTTGTAACAGATATTGATATGTTTAACATTGCGACAACATGTTGCAAAAGAATAAGCGTAAAGGAGCTGATTACCATGCTCTTGTATACGGCAGCATCACCGGTATTCTACATTACCTTTTGAAATAAGGCGTGGTTATTGTTGTTTATTGAATTTCATGAGCTAATTTCATGGTGGTTTTTTTTATTGTTATTTTTTTGTGGCTTAGATGGGTCTTCTGGAAACATTATATTTCGTCAGCGAGGAACACGGTTCCATCCTGGAAACTATGTTGGGATTGGGAAAGACCATACTCTCTATTTGTGTGAAATTCGAGACGCAAAAGCTTGATGGACAAAAATGGGAACATGTTGAACATAAGGAAGGACATGTCCTCCACCCTCTTTATGCAACTGCTACTAGAGGACACCTGAAGACAGCCACGTAAAAATTGCAGCATTCATGTTTGTTTAGGCAATCAAGCTGCATTTGATAGTCTGTTTTTGCATGATATTCTCAGATATTCAGGTATCATTGTTATCAAAGAGGATTTTGGAGATAACAGAAATTAAAAAAACCATGGGTCTTCCTCCCCATTTCTGTTTGCCACAGCTGCTGTTTCAGTTTCTTTATTGTTACTGATCACCTTTTGCTTTTCCTTGACTGCATAGCATGGTTTTAGATTCTAGTATTCTACAGCCATGAACAAGATACTATGCTATGAAGTGGTGCAAGCCGTCGAATCTCTCTGGAAAACTATAACCGCAATCATGACATAATTCTTTTATCTTACTATGATTTTTGGTCTCTTTCTGCATTGGGTAGAAAGTAGTCTTTCTAGGTGAGTGGCCAAGCATGATGCAGTTAAACTGAAGCAGTCGTCAATAAGCTTCTCTGGGGACTCATCTTTGCCTTAGCAAGCATGCCTGATGTCTTTTTCTGGACTGGAGTTATTGAGATGCAAGCGGTTGGTAGAACACCAGCAGAATCATATTGAGAATTTTATGGGACATCAAATTTTTTGTATCACTAGATTTGAATTCTCAATCGAAATATTTGTTTTGAGGTACAGTTAATGTGTTTTCTGATTGCTATTAACAAAATGGAAACTTAATATAGCTGCAAAGAGTCCTAATCTTTGACAATTTTACACTCTACATGTTTAGATACGTGAGAAAATGCCAATAACAATGAAAAATTGCTGCTTATATTGACAATTGAATTCAAACAAGCTTTAGAAATAGGAGAAGAATCTCAATGGAGACGGTCTCCGGTCGCTTCTTCATGGCTGACTTCGGCCATTTTCGTCAGGCCTAGCCCGCCTAGAGATGCATCAGCTCAACCAGTTTATCTTCATCAGATTGGATAGCCTGCTAGATTTCCTTATAAATAGCTTTAGAACCCAATGGGCGTACAACTAAAAGCAGTTGGGATTCAATGGTTGAGCAGGCACTTACACAGAAGCCACCTTAAAATCATTAATAACGTAGCAAATACTCTTTCGACTAATTCTCATCTAACCTCTCCCTTTCTTGCATTTCCACTGGTTCGGGGAAAATTTCATTCGACAACTTTTTATTTGAGGATGAGTGTTCAATTCCTCCACTGCCATGAGAACCTACTCTACCTGACTGCTTAAAACCACCTGCACCCTCTCTGTTGGGGTGGCCTGAAATGGCGGTGCTCTCTGATGAGCTCTGTCGCCAACTTCCAAAGAAGGCAGCAGTCCATGATCTCCTAGACGAAGTTGTTCTTAGCATAGCAGAGCTGAAACTCTCCTCCCTTACCACTTTCAAAGGGTTTTCCAATGCTCTAAGAATATGTTTCATTGAGGGTCGTTTGGAAGGCTTTGGGTTAAGGCATGACATTGCCACAATTGCCATGGCCCATACCTCTTCCAATAGATCCTCATCTACTATCAAGGACGGGTCCATAATGTTAGTCACCAATTCCTTATCATATATACTGATGCAAGGCAAAGTTTGCTCAAGCCACTCTTTTGTAAATGCATCTTCTGCTTTACCAATGCCAAGCTTGCCTGTTATAAGCTCAAGTAATACCTTTCCGAAACAATACACGTCATAGGCACAATTAGTCGAAGAAGAGCCTGTCCATTTCCAAAAGAAATATATAAGAATTATGATTTTCTTTCCAATATGTAACTGATGCAGAAAAAAGCTGATGAGATGCTGTATGTTATATTTCAAAATCTCCCCTCCCCAACGACAGTTTTAGGGGATACTTCATAGTTCCATGGGAAAATTGGATCAGTTTTGACCAAGGATATAATTATGTTGGTGGAAAAAATCTATAGTTTCAGTGGTGGAAACTAGTAATGGATATCATTTGCTTCTAGAACATACGTACAACAGTATACATGTGAATGATAACTGCTTAACATTTCACATTCAACCCAGTGGACCAATTCAACCAAGGCTGTCAACTCCAGCACTTCTAGGATAAGAAGGGTAATCAATTAAGTGAATCCCCAAAGACTAGAGAATTATTACTATTAAATCTCACATGTTGACAAATGGTACTATAAAGAATTAAGAATATTAACAACCATGCAATTGAATTTTATGTACCTGAACCTGAAGGGCCTGGCTCAGGGGTCCTGCACATCACCGAGAGAAAAACTTATTATTGTAGCTTTGAACAGATAGACAATAACAGAAAAAAGAACTTGTTTGTTGCTCATATGCATGTTAATTTGCATTTCATAAGGTCACATCAAAGATCCAATATCAATGAATAATACAAATAATCTATAAATGCAACTCGTGCTACAAAGAAAAAACTGGCAATCTATAGTTGTATCACCTGCGCCAGGCTATTTTCAACCATTAACCTATTGCATCACTCCAATGCCCTTGGAAAGAATTAATGTTATTTTATAGTTTATAATTCTTATTCATTACTTCACTGAGTCGGGTATCGTGTATGGTTGACTGGGTGTGTTTATGTTTGTGTATCAAAGTTGCCATGGACATCAAGGTTTAAGGGTACCACTAAACAAAATTGAAAACTAAAAGCTAACAAATGCAGAAGTGGAACAAACAGTTGACAGCAACAGAGCTGTCAAGGGCCAGGCCCGCAAGCCAATGACAGTTATATTATATCATTCAACATTATATATAAAATTCGAGCCAATATATGGGCTTGGTCATGCCTCCAATGTATAGGCCGGAATTGCCCAGCCCAAGCTGATTGGCGGGCTGTCTTCTTTAGCATCAAAACTAGTATTTTACATTTAAGAAAATCAGCATCCAAGTATATCCCAATTCTAGTTGATTTAATTCACTAGGCCATAGCTCTTTGAAATCAAATTAACTATGTCAAAAGTAGCACGCATAGCAATATGATAACAAGTGCTTTCGTTATAAGACAACAGGCTGATAAAAGAAAAGGGTGCCAGGACCAGATATATTACGGTCAAAACTAAAAGACTAGAGTACAAGAAGAGAATGAAAGTCGATTGTTTTAAAGCAATTGCAGCACAGAGGACTAAAAGGAATAGCCAAACCACAGACAAAAACCAAATAATATATCAAGTTGGTTTTCAAAAACCAATAAAATCTATTAAGTTATTCCTAGATTAATTCAACAAACTCCAAATAAAAGAGGATAGACAAATTATATAATACTTCCTGGCTAATAGACAGCTTGAAAATGATAAAAAAGAGTAACTTGTATAAGACTTACTGCGGCTTCCAGAGAAACCTTGTGAGCACAATATGGTGTGTATTCCCTTCCTGGACACGAACTTCGCTCAAGCTTCCAAGTCTCACTTCAAATTTGTCATCAAGAAGGATACTGCTTGCTTGAACATCCCTTCAATCACCAAAAGTCATATAGCATTAAATATTGAAGCTTTTGAAAAGGAAATCATAAAGCTAGTGAAAAGTTTCAAAAAGAATCTTAGCAACATAATTCAAAATGGAGAAAGGGACAGCTACGAGTAGCTATTGGCATATAGATCTTAGACATTTCTAGTTTCTAGCATCCGCTACCTGTGAACAAGGGGAGGGTTACATTCATGGTGCAAATAGTATAGGGCTTCAGCAGCTCCAGTAGCTACTTTCAACCTTGTAATCCAATCCAGGGACTTTAAACTATCATCCTCCGAGTTGGTAGCCCTGTAAAAGGAATTGGCCAAATCTCCATTTGGCAAATATTTGTAGACCAAAAGCTTGTCAGTTTTATGCTCCAAGCAGTGCCCCAAGAGCGGGACAAAACTCGTGTGAGAAAGCTTTCTGAATAAATCCAATTCCATCATGTATGATTCTTTCTTGAAAGAACTCAGATTGACCTTTTTGATGACCACAGGAATCCCACCTTCCAAGATACCACGAAATAAGTCTCCTGAGTGACCATGCTTAATAAGATTTGTCTCACTAAAATTACCGGTTGCTCGGAGCAACTGCTCATATGTAAATGAATCTCCAGAACCAGCTATGTTTGTAGGATCTTTTGGAAGGTGAGGACTATTTCCTTCTGGAACAGGCCCTGCATCTGCACTTTCCCTTTGATTTCTAATGCCCTTATCACACCGTCTCAAGATCAGTAGTAGCACCAATACCAAAATTACAATGAAGCCAAGTCCAACAAATACTCCTGCCAAGATTAATATCCATCGTTTCCTGCCCTGTGAACTAGATTCTGCAGGAGGTCGCAGTAGAGTGTCTGGTGCTCCAAAATTATCAGAACTTAGCTCTCTTTCTGTATAAAACAGTCTACAATCCTCCAAACTCCTCTGCCTCAGCACAGCCTGAAGGCAATTCTTATCAATATCAGCATTTCTTTCACTGTCATTATCTACCATGCCTTGAAAATAGTTACCAGATAGATCAATAAATTTAAACATCCCAAAGGAAAAATTCAAAGTTCCATATAAAAAATTGTTGGACAGATTGAACACGGCAGCTGTAGCAGCACTACTATTAGAATTAGGTCCCGGTAAAGGACCCGTAAAATTGTTGCTAGATACATCAAGGAACCGCAAATTAGGCATTGACCAAAATGTACCATTAAGAGCGCCATCAAGTCTATTCCCACTCAAATCCACAACTTGCAACTCAACAAGACTTGAAAACAAAGCAACAGGTAGACGTCCTTCTAGCTCGTTGTCCCCAATCACCATCTTTTGTAAACTTTTTAACATCTTAAATTCCTCAGGCAACGACCCGTACAAAGAATTCTTACTAAGATCAAGCTCAACCAACCTTGAAAGATTACCAAACTGAAGGGGAATTGAACCAGAAAGATTATTATCCGAGGCATTGAACACTTGAAGACCTTTTAATGAACCTAAACCAGGTGGAATTGACCCAGATAAGTAATTTGAAGCAAGTTCAAGCCTTTCGATGTTTCCAAGAAGGCCAAAACTTTGAGGAATTGAACCAGTAAGCGAATTAACTGAAAGATCAAGAATTTTTAAATTCCTTAACTGTCCCAATGCAGCAGGAATTGAACCGGCAAGATTGTTATCACAAAGATACAAGGAAGTGAGTCGACCCAAGTTGCCGAGTGAACCAGGGATTGAACCAGAGACATTGCATGACCGGAGATCAAGAACCTCGAGATTTATCAACTGGGTTCCAAAACAATCCGGTATTAACCCGGGAAGCGAGAACCCGGAAGCATTGAAGGAAACTAACCGGGTCAAATTAATCAAAGAATCAACATTGAACCGGGGATTGAGTCGTCCAAGTCTGGTTCTTCTTAAACCGGAAACCGTGATTTTCCTGACGGCGCCGTTTTGGCATTGAACGCCGAGCCATGATGTGCAAGGGTCAGCCTTGATAGGCCAGTCCCTGCCTCGGAGACCTAATGATGAGCGGAGATCGAGCAATGCCCGCCGTTCGATGGGAGAACTTATCGAAACTCTCTGAGCCAGCACGCACTGAATCAAGAACAAGATTACAGCTAACAAGAAGATTAGCAGCACACTTCTTCGAGCTTCCATTGGTAATGTGAAGCTGATATTCATGAAGCTCTATGGAGGCTAAGTCTCTGACTCATCTTCTTCTTCTTTTTCCTTGAAAGAAAAAATAAAATAAAAATCTTTACAATTTTTTTTTTTTACAAAAGAACTGTTAGTTTTTTATGTTGACCATTAGCATTACTATCAAAGAGCTCTCTCTCTCTCTCTCTTACCAGTCTGTACATTTTATGTAATTACTTAATTTACGGAGAATAAAAATAAAGAAATGGGAAACTTAAAAACAGAGCGAAAATATGTATTTAGAAAATTTTAAAATTTTCTTGTTCTTCGTAAATTCTTACCTCCAATCACGAGCTTTGATTCTGCATTCGATGTTGTTCCTTTGTTACCGCCGACCCCAGATAAATAATTTAAGCATTTAAACAATAAAAAAATTTTAAACTGAACTGCATGTGTTTATGTCCAAAAAAAACAAAACAAAAACGTAAGATTTACAACGCTAATCTTGAATTTAAGCTAACAAGCAAAAAAGGGTTGTTTTTGTTGTTTCTAGAGAGAAGAATGAATGATGACACGGGCTTTTAAGAGACGGGGGTCAGGGGACATTAATGAGAAAAAAAAAAGATTTTTTTTCTTCAACCGCCGGGCCTTTTGCCAATACTGTGTCGCTTTCACTCTCCACCGGAGCTATTAAATGAATCAGCCCTTCCACAAACTCAAAGATTCTAACGCCTCACTTATATAACCAGTCAGACAAGACGAGCCATGGGTTTGAACCAGAGCTTCGAGGATGGTGGGTTTTCATTCCTGGTTTATTGACTAGGTAACTATGCAAAAGATTGTGTCTTGGTCGTGGAAGCCCGCTTAGGTAAACAACAATTTTGTAAATATACAAAAAACAATGAATCGTTTCGTTTAACTTCATATCATTTGCATATGTCGTAATTAAACAAATAGTTGGGTACCACTAGCAATGAAACTGTGGATAAAAGGACAACTCCAAAGTTTCTTTTTTTTCTCAGGATTTGATTTTCTTTTGCTTGGAATATGAATATATTATTGGTAGTGCTTTCTTTTGACCCACTCTGCCCCATCCCAAATTGTCTATATATATATATATATATATATATATATATATATTAATAAATTAATAAATTATTAATTCAATCGGTTAAAATTTATTTTTTAAAATAAAAAAATCTTGAATTTAAAGTTTTTTTTATGATTATTTGTTAAGATTATTTTGAATGTATAATTTATAATCACTTAATTTAAATTATTAAATAGATATAGTTTACTCTAATATAAAAATTGAACAATTTATTTACTTTCAAAATTTTTTTTTACTATATATATATATATATAGTATAAAGTTTGTTTCTTGAGCAACATTTACTTCTGTTCATTTTTGTTGATGATTAACTGATGCATTAATGCCATATATTGAATTGTCATAATATAGTAATTTTTAAAATTCATTGCATTTGGAAAGAAAGCTTACCATCAATTATTGTTTCCACGTGTAAAGATTAATTTGATTAACAACATTAGCATAAGTTTTGATCTTACTGTAACTGTTATATAATTGTGTCAATATTTTATAATATTTTTTACGAAACACATATTAAAATTCAATTTAATATATATAATCATGGCAGAATGAAAAGGTATTGTTGATTAATGGTGTTTTGGGCACAAGTGAGTGGGATGGTGACATAGAAAAAGAGTAGGAAATAATTTGTACATGTACTAGGAAAGTATGGACAACAAGAAAATACAGTAAAAAAGCAAAGGAGTTAATTCTTTAAGAGGTGCTTTGACATTTAAATCAATTAAGTATTTAGAATTCTTTGGATGAAGAAGGTGAAATACACATAATATGAAAGAAGTTTAGGGAAGAAGTGTTCAAAATATTGTACTTTGATTTTTTTTTTTTTTTACTTTGGGATAATAGTTTAGTGATGTAATTTAGAGGTGTAAATGATATATTAGTACTCACAAATTACTCAAGTTTGATTTGAATAAAACTCAAATTTGGTTCGATTATTATCGAGTCGAATTCAAATTCGAGTAATTCGATTCATCGATTGAGTCGAGTTCGAGTATTCTTATACCCGACTCGAGTAGCTCGCGAGCCTAATCGAACTTTTATATTTAAATATTTTTTATTATTTTAATTAATAAAATATATTGAATTCGAGTTCGAATTTGAGCACAAATAATCGAGCTCTTATCGAGTATAAAAATCGAGCTTATTTTTACATATTAATCGAGTTTAATCAAGCGAGCTTGAGTAACTCGATTTCGATCACGAATCGAACTTGAGTTAGAAAAATAAAACTCGATCAAATTCGAGCCAAATATCGAACCGTGAGTTGAGAGTCGAGCTCGAGCTTCTCACAGAGTCGAGCTCGAGCTTCTAACTGTGTCGACTCGACTTTACTATACCCTTAATGTAACTAATGTTATTGACAATTGATAAAAAATTCATGTAAAATTCGAGAAAAGGACATGTGAACAAGTGTGAATTGTATTTAATAATCTTAGTTTAACGTAATTATATTTAATAATTTTAAATAAATTGAAGATCATTGTTCTATTACGAGATGATTTCCTAATGAGACATTGATGGTAATTGTTGGACAAATCTTTTGATGGGCGAAGGAGTAAAGTTGAGCCTCTGTTGTGACAAATAATTTGATCATTTTTAATGGTGATATGATAATTGAGTATGTATAGACTCGATGAACGTGGAAATTAACCTTATTAATTAAGAAAGTAGATGTAACAAGTATCATAAATGATTTTAAGTTACTATTTAAAAAATTATTATTATGTTAGCATATATAAATGTAAAATCATTTATATAATCAAATTCATATATAAATGTTACGAATTTTGGAAAGGAAACAATCTTACATCTAATAATCATAAATTAAATTATGACTTTATAAATAAAGATAATTTTTTCCTATTGAGTTATATTTTCTTTAAAGACAAAATCATAAATACATTTTTTATTAATCTCTGTAACATTTAATATTTCATAATAGATATAATCTAACCATTCTTATATCAATAATATGATTCGATAAATCTTCATTCCATTGTTAGTTCAAATGATTCCATTAATATTATTTTTTAAGGAAAAATATATAATTAATCATTTAATTATATAAATATTTTAAAATAATATTTTAATTTAATTAATCAAGTTTAATAATTATTTTTGTTATTCAATCATTAATTCTTGATGATATATTAATGTGACATTATCACAACAATAAACATGTACCATATATCATTATTGCTTTATCTAATATGCTACATGGCATATTAATAACTATCATAAAAAATAATATGATAGTGTCAAGTAATATTTAATAATTGATATAACAGTATCACATCAATGAATTTTTTTTTTTTGTAAGAAAAAATTCAGGATAAATAGATTATTTGATATTTCAGATCAAAATAAAATGTGTTGTATCTGATAATTTAAAATAATTATTACAAATTGTGAATTCGAGATAACTTCAATAAATTAACGATTGAGTTAAAAAAATTTAAATTTAAATAATTAAATAAAAATTAATAATTAAATGATTATTTTAAAAATATAAATTATGAATAACTAATAATATATTGTTTATTATTTTTTATTACAAATAAAAGATATTAACGTGTGGAATCAAATACTACAAATTTGAATCATTCAAGATTATTTGATCGTCTGCGCAAAGTCATTTTCTTCTTCTTGTTTTATCTCATTAATCATTGAATCTTGCATGGCTAGTAGAATTTTTTGCATAGAAAAATGTGAAAGCATGAAGCATCTATTGGGAGTCAAACAATTTAAAGTTTGATGGTCAAACATCTAATCTAAAGCACCTTTCATCCAGCGACCACAATACGAAACTGCTGCCGTGCCCTACAGTGACTGAAATGAAAAGGAAAATTAAACTACAAAAAAGAGATAGTGACTGACGTGGCAATTTCCAACGCGGATTCCCACGTGGACCACCGATAGCCAACGCGTTTATATCGTTTTTCCTTCCACTTGAAAACCTTTTTATTTTTAACGTCTATTATTGTTCGTAGCTTTATCTTCAAAAAAGGCAACGTATCAGCACACGTGTAACATCATTTTAACCGTCCAACATATTTTTTATTCAATCCTATGATTGGATTTAGAATTAAAATATAACATAACAAAAAAAGTTTGAAACTTCGTCACGAAGTTGTAATTAATAATTTATTTTAAATTGTTCATAGCATAATTTATTTATAAAATATTAAATTTTGATAAATTTAAATATAAAAATTATTTAATTTATGGATGAAATTTAAATTTGCAAGCAAAAGATTAGACTTTGTTTGGTTTGAAAAAAATTTTATTTTTATTTAACAAAATGTATTTAGTAAGCGAAAATAAAATTTATTTTTTTAAAATGTAAAAATAAAAAATAAATAAAATATTCAATGATATTAAATTTAATAATAAATATAATATATATTTATTACTTAATGACATAAATATGATAATTTGCAAAATATAAAGAAAAAATAATTACATTCTTTGTTTTCATAATTGAAAATATTTTTTTCATATTTCTACTTCATTTTTATTTTTATTTTTGAGAATTTTATTTTTATTTTTAATAATCAAATATATTTTCACTCATTTTTTATTTTTTAAAATAAAAATAAAAAATAAATATTTTTTTAAAAATCAATTACTATCTAAATTTCAAATTTAAAAATAATTTCTCAACTTTAGTTTTTCCAGGATGATATGACATGATAAGATTTTAATTCAAAAAAAAAAAAAAAAAGAAAGCAATGAAAATTACGTGACTAAAATACCACTTAAATAAAAATGGAAACAGAATAAAGCTACGTGTCCAACTTGGCTAAGGAACATGTAGGCTGGCGGACCAATTTGGTAACGACAAAAGGACACGCTTTTGCGCTGTCATGACGGCGTCGACGTGACATGAGCTGATTAGCTCAAAAGTTTATAGTAAAGCAGCCACGAAGCTGGAGGCAGATTGACTTGGTCTCACCAACTTTTAAATAGGATTTTATAAGTTGAAACTGTTAGAGAAAGACAACAAGATAATTAGATAAGTAAAAGTAGACAGTATTTACAAAAGAATGCTTCAATCCTATCTTTACAAATTTGCATGATCTTATCTTTACAAAATTACATATATATATATATATTGACAATGAAATCATTTCCTTTCTATTTGATACAATCTTTTTGAAAGATGGTAGAAACATATTTTAATTTGAACATTCATCATATAAGAGTTTTATTTTTTAGATTAATTCATAAATTTATATAAATTTTTAAAAATAATTTTAAGAAATTTAAAATTTAAATCTTAAAATTTATAATTATTTTTATTTTAGATTGTGATTTTAAAAAATATATTTTATTTAAGTTTTAAATAGATAGAGTGAAATTGTTTCCAAATTAAAAGTTTTGTAAATAAAAAAAATAGAAGCTAAAATAATTTGTTCCTTTATAAGATTTGATCAAATTCGATTTCATATTAGTCAAAGTTCAAAATAGTTACCGAACATAAGAGGTCTAAGGTAAAAAAAAATTATTTAATATTGACCATTATTAAATAATAATTTATTGAAAAAAAAATTATTTGTATCGATGTAATTCATTTTTTGACATATAGTCCAATGGATTCTAAGTCCGTGATATTGGGTTGGTGACAAAACTAGCTGATTGGTTTGGGTTTTCTTTTTAAGGATGTTGGGTCCCTACAAACTCAGGTGAGTTGTGTCTCAAGTGGATTATTGGGTTTGGATGCTAAGGGATAATCCTTGCCAGCCCATGATATAAGGTTCATGATATGGATGGTGTTTGGAAATGAAATTGCACTCGAATGACACAGATTTGGGTTATGGCTCAAAATCACCTAGTTCTAGGCCAATCCCAGTTTCTTACAGGAGCTAGCTAAACACAAGAAATCTGATGTTTTTTGAAGTGATAATAACACTCCATCTCCATGCCCTGATCTGCATATATACAAAGGGGAGACCCCATATTT